ATAAGGTGTGAAAAAAATAAAGTATTATATAAAATAGATGCAGTATTATTGTGTACTCATTTCTGATGTGTTCAAAGAAATGTTTGTTGGCCAATTTGCGATGTTGGTCAATTGGCCCGATCGCCCGCTGTCCACGTTGCACCATGTGGCAACCGCAACACAGTTGCAACGATCGCTGGCATCGCGCACGCCACCTTGCCGCACATGCAACGCTTAAGCGCTGCCACAGGAAGCGTTGCTCTCACTCGCCCAAGGATCTGGTTTGGCGGCCGGCGAACGTACAGCAGCTTCTTTCGGTTCTGTCTGGTTGGTGTTGATGTTGGGGACTGCTGTGCGCTGCCGTATTAGAGCTCAACACTGCCTGTGGCAGCACGCTGCATGCGCTGTTGGAGATAGGGGCGATGTTCGAGATGGCGACCCGATGCCAGCGATCTGGCTGCAACGGCATCTACCGTAGGTTCGTGTTTTGATGGCGACTGCCGACGCAATGTGACCAGCGGGCGATCTACAAACTTAAAAAACTAATGTACAATTCTAATATAATCATAATAATAATAATAATAATAATAAGTATTACAGTTATTAATTATAATATTCATAGATTATGTTTATATATGCGTGTGGTTATATAATAATGCTCTCTATATATAGATAGTTTTTATATTTATGTTGTGTAAGWTATTAAATGAAATCAAGCTCCAATTGACGACAATTTTTTTTAAACTATTAATCAAACTATGCACGTATATATAATATGAATGTGATTTGTTGTGTAATCTGTTGTTGTTTGTTATCATTATTTGCTTTCTTGCCGCTTAAGCACGCTCGCCGCGGATGCGACGCGCCAACTGAATATCCTTGGGCATAATGGTGACACGCTTGGCGTGAATGGCGCACAAGTTGGTGTCCTCAAACAAGCCCACCAAATAGGCTTCAGAGGCTTCCTGCAATCGCGAGAGAGGTTCATAATATTAATTTTCAATTTAATTAGTTGAAACAGCGTTTGCCATTAATTACCTGCAAGGCACCAATAGCGGCCGACTGGAAACGCAAATCGGTCTTGAAATCCTGTGCGATTTCACGCACCAAACGCTGGAAAGGCAACTTGCGGATGAGCAACTCGGTCGACTTCTGGTAGCGACGGATCTCACGCAGAGCTACTGTACCGGGACGATAACGATGGGGCTTCTTAACACCACCTGTGGACGGGGCCGATTTACGGGCTGCCTTAGTGGCCAGCTGCTTGCGTGGAGCCTTGCCTCCAGTGGATTTACGGGCGGTCTGCTTGGTACGTGCCATACTTAATTAGTTCTGCAAGATGGATTGGATTCGATTGATGGATTAACCACACATTGAATGTCACTGTTAGAGCTCTGCGACGCTCAGCGCCGAAGCGCTGGCGCGCAACTGATACGAATGTGGCAAATGTTGCTGCAACGAAGGCCACAGCAGCAGCAGAGGCAGCAACAGCAGCAGCAGAAGCTACGACATCGACATCAGCAGCGAGGGTTGAAATCGTTTCTCAGCAGCTGCAGAAATTTTCTTTTTGTTCAGTTTCACGCTGTGCATTTTCCTTAGCCATTCGGCTTGGATGCCTTCTGGGAACACTTCAAAACTTCCACTTCAATTGCGACGTTGTCGTCGTCGCCATCCTCTGCTGTTGCTGCTGTAACCCACAGCTTTGAGTGCCTCCACTTGAGCCATTGTGTGAGTGCATACTTTTTGTTCTTTTTTTTTGTGGCATGAATCGCTCTTTTTACACGGCCTCTGCATTTCTTTTTCTTTTGTGCTCTACCACCACTCGAGCGTCGTGAATTTTGCGTTTTGCTTTTTATGCGCAGAATCAATCAAGTTGAAGTAATGAGTTGTAGTTTTTAGTTTTAGATCTACAAATCGTGCCACACGCATACAAACACAGCAACACACACGCACACTCTTAAAGCAGTCGCGCGGAAAACATGCACAAAAAAACTTTCTAAGGGGGCCACAGCAAACGGTAAATTACGATACTCGAGTAAACATAAACAAAAAATAAAAAGCATCGATATTTTTGAGGTCGAAAACTTGCACACTGATCTGCCAGAATTTGAAAGTCTATTGATGTTTGCAAATCATCAATAGATTGATCGAGTTGTAGCTTGTTCTATACATATTAAAGATAGATCAAACAATATACGTATATATCACTGGAACCAGTCCCTCCTTCAGGTTGAGCATAATATTCGTATTGTTTAGCTCATAGTCTAGAATTTTCCATTTATTGCCATATTACAGATTAGTATTTTATATTTATTGTTTGTTCAACATTTGATGCATGACTTAACTTAGATTTCTATAAAATATAATTTGCATACATATGCACAACTTTCAAATGCAATTGTCCCAATTTGCAAATGGATTCAGCTATCTACACCCCTGTCATATATGTTTAGCCAATCGCAAAACGTATGTATGCTTGATCAACATACACGTACACACTCACACACACATACATGCAATTGGACCACATACAGATATATGCATGCTGCAGGTGCTTCATTTTGTGCTATGCTTATTTCATAACAATCATAAGAAGAGCAATGTGAAGGAAAACAAAAACTTGGCGCCCATTTGAATAGCAAATGTGCAAGCGGGCTGGCAATATTGCGCATTAGGCGCAAACAACGCGTTATTAGCAATAGCAATAGATAAAACATAAAGAGAGAGCGAGAGGGAGAGCTGTAAACAGGGAGCGAAAGGTGCCTAAACGAAAATTGCGTCGTTCGCATTTAACGCGCGCAAAGCAACGTCATATATTTGTGCGTGTTTGTATGTGAAGCAGCTGCACATCTTAAGAGCAAATGCTTACATATGTATGCGCGTGTACAGACATCAAAATTTCAGTAATTGGCCCGCTATATTGCTCACAAATGCGAAACAAAACGAAACTTGAAGAAAAACAACTGACACACACACACACACACACAAATGTATATGTATATAGGCACGTACAAGCTCACGTTTAAATGCTGATGCGCATGTGTCACAAAACGAGTGTTTGCATGTGTACGTGTGTCCGTCAGTATGCACACATACATACAATTGAGTCAAAAATAACAATAATCAAAATACTGGAAGTCAGCTTTAAGATACTACAACATAAATCAGACGAACAGAACAAAAACATAAACATATGCGCACTCCTTTCCCCATCAGTACATTAACAGATCTCGAATATTTCGGTGGATTAAATAAATATTTCGCAATTATTATAAACTTTTTACTTCCAACTCGTCTGCAATGGCCGCCATTTTGAAAAAGGCAACAACGCAAGTACACCACACTAAAGTGTGCCCATGCATTCGTCGTGCAAACGAAGTCACCATCGTTGCGCAGTGTGTGTATCCACTAAAATAAAAAAGCTAAGCTAGCACGGAAAAGTGGTGCTCCGCCGGCCGTCTATAGGAGCACCCCACAAAAAAAAAAAAAAAACCAAAACAACAGGCTATTGCACACACTAATTACGCCGCTGATAGTATTAAACTTGTCACATTCACCGTTTAGCACAACACAAATTCAGCTAACATAACAAATTAAATAAATGTGAAGGCACACTCACCGTTACGAAAAGTAAAAATATATTTGTTTTCTTTTTTCTAAGAATTTTCACGGAGAACCCGATCTGCTCACTACGGAGAACGATTTCACAATGAGGCAGTATCGATTTTTGTAAAACAGTTTGTATCGATTGTAGTTCAATTTCTAGTTCATGAATATATTGGTATGCAAAAATATCGTTATTAAAACAGTCAACAATCGATAGATAACCAAATAAATTTAAACAGTCTTCAATTTAGCCGCAAGCAAAAAAAAAAAAAAAAAAAACACAAATTGGGGTGCGTTTTATCAGATTTAGTTTTTTCCTGCGAGGATTCTTAAAAAATCATTGTTTATTGCTATGGCTAGTAATGGTATCGACTGCATAAGTTTGATACGGATAATTTTAATTTCCTGTATTTATAGAAATAGTAAATATCATTCTCATAAGACAAACGATTTTTATCTCTGTTAGATAAAATTAGTGTTCTGTTTTTGTTTTCAGCAGTAACGTATACCGATATTTAAGCTTTGGTAAACAATGTTTGGTCATACCGGAAAATGCCGCCAAACTTTGAATATGCGCTAGCACCAGCACCTACTTTGTAGTGATATACATACATGAATACGTTTATTTACTGCGCAGTTTGCGACTTTTCGCTCAATTCAAACAAATATTTCATCAAAATTTATCGTAGCCCTGGACAACTTGCCTCTACCCGGCGCTATGGCCTGGTTTCGTAAGACAGAGGAGGCAAACCGTGAAAAGGGCCCGCAATCATCGGAAAGCCGAATCAGTGAGCCCCAACTGCCAGCGACTGCAGGTAATCTATGTCGTATCGCTCTTCTATACATAGTATAAAACAATTAAAAACTCACTGTAGAGCGGGAGGCTGAAAAAGAAGAAGACGACGATCAAGCAGAAAGCGATCTTACAACACCGACTTCACCGTCCAAGGAAACAGGGTTATTCAATTCAAGATTTCAGGGACTATTAGCCCCGGTCTTTACTTGTTTCAAGGACGATGAGTGAGTCTATAAACCATCTGCCGACAAACACCTATATACACGCACATGAATGTATATATATATGTATGTGGGTGCAGTCGTAGATCTCTGGACGTGCGTCCCATCAATCGGTATGCGGAATGGCTACGCAGTCAAATGATTTCGGGAGTCCTAATCAATGGCGTCGTCGGCGAGGGTCCAATGATGCGTGTGCGCGAACGCAAGGCGAACTGCGAATATTGGCAGCGTGCCGCCGTCCGGCATAATCTGATGATAATGGTTCAGGTAGGTGGAGCGCCGCTGCCCGATGTCCTCTCGCTGGCCTCCCACGCCGAGCTGGTACGCGTTAGCGGCGTTGTCACACTACCTGAGCTTTTCTATCGTCCGCACAATGTGGATCAATTGGTTCAATATTGCCTGAATGTTTCCAGTCGTTGCCCAACCCGACCATTCTTCTACTACCACATGCCCTCGATGACGGGCGTGGAGCGTAAGTTGCCGCTGCTAATGCAGAAGCCAAGGACTCCGAGTAGTAATGCTTGTATCTGCCTTGCAGTAGATATGGTTGAGTTCTGCTCGAAGGCCGAAAAGTGCATACCGAATTTTATGGGTCTTTACTATGCCAGCGCCGATCTGGAGATGGGTCAGCGCTGTTTGCGCTTCGGACGTGTCGTCATGCTGGCATCCACGGCCTTGCTGGCCAGCGGCCTCATGTCCGGCTTCAATTGCAGCAGTCTGGTCGTTGTCAACATTCGCCCCGATCTGGTGCACAGGATTTGCGACGCCTTCGACGACAACGAGCTGCAGCTGGCCAGGGACGTTCAGAGGGAGCTAAATCAACTCATCGAAATACACACGCACGACTGCCAAATGGAGTACTGGGTGGTTTCCATGAAGAATTGGTTTAACAAAGAGTTCGGCTCACGGCAAGTTGGCAACTTTTGCGCTGGCCCGGCACGGATTATACGCTAGGATCACTTTCACTTCAACTGTTCAAATAATGCATATTGTGTATCAAAATTGTATCAGCAACTTTTATGGTGACTGGACCGATTGACTGATGGACGGACTGATTTCTGTTGATTACTCGAAGCAAGATAGGTAATGGGGTATGTCTGTAGATCTCTATAGAGATTGAAGGCTGAAGGTCATGGAAACTAAATCAAAAATTTTGTTTTTATGGCTTTCCCTATTCCAGATATTTTCCAATATCAAATATAAATAAGCACACACAAACATATTTAAAAATATATGTATATATGTTAAATATAGTCAGGTATGCCAGACTAAAAGGTAGCCGGAATACATATGTCTTACATATTTCTCTATAAAACTTCTATTAAATTGTACAACAATTTACAAAAATTTTCTTAAGTTCCCCAGAATTTTCAGTTCTAAAGAGTGTTGAGTTTTGACTATTAAAAATAATTGTTAAGGCATAGTTATATGACAATCAAAGACTGTTGAAATTGTTAAAGTATAAGATTAACCAGATATCCAGGATAACAGGAATGTATGGCCTGTTATAAAAACATTTACAATTAAGGTTAATTAAAGCTCGCTTTATTGCTAAGCAGCTGAGCTTTGCTTTTTTGTGCATAAATCAATGTGCTCGATGTAAATAAAATGTTTAAAAACAAAGTAGAATACAGTTTTTACAAAATTGGAATCGAATACAAATACATAACATAGTTTTTGGAATGTTATTAATACACTAGCTCTGATCAAATTAATATCTATCCAGGTGCAGGCGTTCGTGCCGCAGCTGCGAGGCATGGGTTCCGAATCTCTTCTGGCAATGGCCGCACTGAAAGCGTCGCTGTCCCTCGTGGACGACACGCACATGCCTGCTGATGGCGCTCTTGTGCCGGAAGAGCTGTGGACATTGCTTGCACTTGAACTTCTCCCAGTCCGGATTGTGAATGCGCAGATGGGTGAGCAGCTCGGTGCGCGTCACCTTGGCAGCACCGCAATGTTCGCATATGTGCGGCTTCTCCTTTGCATGCCGTTTCAGGTGTTCACCGAGCGCATTTTTGGTGCTATATCGGCGATTGCATTGCTCACAGATTAGCTCCAGCTCGTCGCTGGCTACCTTTGTGGCAGCGGCCACAGCCGGATGAACGTTGCGCACATGCGAGCGCAGTTGTTCGTATCGTGTGAAAGCTTTGTCACAGTTGCGGCAGAGGAACGGCTTCGGATGACCCTCATGCACGCTGCGTATATGCGCCTCCAGATAAGGCAGCTTGTACACCTGCTTGCCGCACTGCTCGCAGGCGAGCAGCTTCCGTTTGTTGGCAGCAGCAACCGCCGCCGCAGCTGCCGCCTCCTCCGCTTCTGCTTCTGCCTCCTCTGTTGCTGCACAGCTGCTCATGACGGTCTCATCATCATTTGTTGAAGCCTGGCTGCGATCGACATCGACGTCTGCATCAGCATAAGCATCGGCATCAGCATCTAAGCCAGCATCAGCATCGGCATCTCTGTCGTGCTCGAAATCGTATTCTTGTTGATGTTCGGCTTCATCTTCCATGGGCTCCGTTTTCACAAGCGGCAACTGCAAAAACGCTAGCTCAGCCCTAAAACTAGCTGACTCAACTGTAAAGATTTGTATATACCAACCGAGTGATCAACATCAGCATCCGCAGCAAGAGCATCAGCGCCTGTATTTGGGATCGGAACTTCTGGCTGCTCAATCAAGGTCAGTTCCAGGTGCCTCAACATCTCGTTGCTCTGCTCGGCGACGGTGCATAGCTGCTGGAAGTATTCCATGGCATTGTAGCAAAGTGCACATATTTGCTGCGGAAAGGTGTCCGGTTGCTGAAAAATGTCAATGGCAAAAAACTGATTCAACATTTCTGCCAAGTGTGGAAGAGCCCTCGAATTGTAGCTCGATTTGTTCCTTTGCAAATAATGAGTATCTCTGGCTGGTGTTGCATTTGGTGACTGTTGCTGTTGCTGCTGCTGGCGCAAATGTCGCAGGCAAATACGACAAAGTTGCGAAAGATTTGCTAAGGCTAACATTTTAACACTAAAACCTCTTTAATCGCTTTGCGCACGAAACGCACAGCCGTTTGGAATTCAGAGTGTTGCAGTGTTACCGTTCTTTTAAACTCAAATATTACATTGACTTTTCCATCGTTCCATATGTGTATGTATGAAAAATTTTAATGAAAATAAAATAAAAAAAACAAATAAAAAAAAAACAGAAACAAATCCAAAAGTAAATATAGTATGGAGACTAGCCCAATTATTGCAGTATCAATTTATTTTTGTTTTTAACCAACACACTTTTTAGTTGCTTATCGATGTTTTTAGTTTATAATCGAATAATCGAAACAATTGAATTATGTTGAAAAGAAAATTAAATGCGAATGTAGGTGGTGCTCGCTATTGGTCACACTTTCGCCGTGTCTCGCGTTTTCTGTGTCTCTTAGTTTCATAAAGTCAACCAAAATATCTGATAAGCTGTATAGTTAGCCTCAAATTATAGTCAAGACTTCCAATTATAATTAACTAAATAATTCATCAACAAAATGGCACTAAATCCACAATACGAAGATATTGGTAAAGGCTTTGTTCAGCAATATTATGGCATATTTGACGACCCGGCGAACCGCGCCAATGTGGTAAACTTTTACAGTGTAAGTGGCGTCCCACATTGGGCAATGGAAACTCTTTGGCTATTTAATTTCGATAGGGAACCTAAGCAGCATACACACTCTACATCATTGGCTGCCATATATGTATGTATGTACACGAGCAAGGGCAATATTATTGTTCCCAGTCGCAGAGGTGACGCGCATGGCGCCCTTGACAAAAATGCCTAGAGCATAATTCTTGCTCGCACCGATAAAAAGAGCGCGCAAATGATTATTTCGTGATTTTCGCCGCTCTAAAAATGCTGTTCAATAATTAAATAAATACCAGACATGTATATGTGTGCACAGGTTAGGGTATAATGTGGCTTTCTCGAAATTTCCCATATAAAAGTATGACACACACACGCATACATATACATAGACACAGACGTCTTCATATATGCTAAATTTGCACGAATAGTCATGTTGTATGCATAATTCGTATGTGTGTGTGTGTATATATATACAAATAT